CCTCTCGTTGGTTTCTGCATTCATATTTATTCATTTAATCATACGTCACACTATTATCCAGTACACAAGTGGAAGGTATATGCCAGAAATTGTCGGAGAGATTATTTGTCCTATTTAAACCCCAGTAACCCCTGCTTAATTGTCATCGCTTATTTCGTAAGTTCCCCTCCCACCTCACCCTTCATTATTCATATTTATTTATCCAGGTGGGCCCTCTATATTGCAGGTCTAACCGCTCATCGGTTTCGGCACACCTTAACCGACTTTTGCTCTTATCAAATTACATTCGTTTAATCATACGTCCCACTATTATCCCGTACACAAATATATATACATATATATATATATATATATATATATATATAATACACACACACACATACCAATAGAGTTGTGGTGGGGGGGAAGTGTGGATGAAAATCCCTTCCACATGAAGTAAGTGGATAGTCTTTTGGCTTGACTTGTGTGTGTATTTGTGTTTAGCAATGTATTAAATATATATATATATATATGATTCTTTGTTAAACTAATTTGCATATGCCCACCCAGAATCCTTTGCAGTAGTAACATCACAGCAAATTTGTGATTTCTGTGGGAAAAGCAAGTCTTATGGCTGGTGTGCATTGTTGTTTAACATTGTATTAACTATATATATATATATATATATAGTTTAGTGTTTTTGACATGTGGGTGTCGTGTTTTGTGGACTTCATACATGACTAAAAATCCTAGTTCTGAAAGTATTATATATCTCTATATTCCAAAAAGAGACCCATAGAAACATTTTAATAGTGCTTGACAGAGAATTCTCTGAACACTAATAGAGATCCTTGAAGTTTTTGTATTTTGTACTTTTTTGTTTCTGTTGCTTAACTTTCTCAGTCAACAGAAACACAAGGCAACCTCACAGGAGATACACAGGTCATCTAAATATACAGATTATTATAATGGCAAAAAGAAAGGAAATATCATAACACCCTGAATGTTCTTATTTATAGAGATAAGTGGAACATCAGATGATCAAACACCGAGCAAAACAAGTACAAAGGCGGAGCAATCATTTTAGTCACAGTAGCCCTTTTGTGAGAGGGGTGATAGTATCACACCATCATCCATGATCACTCCACCAGGCATGCCACCATGAGGCTACGGCCTTGATTGTCTCATAAAAAAAATCTGGCCCAGAATGCAACTAAGCCGCTTTCCCCAAAGACAACATTGTGTGTCCATTTCCCCACCCTGGCGTCACTTCGTAGACCAAAAATATTAATTAGTATGTAATCACCAGATAATCGTTTCATATGGTCTTTTTCCTCTGTCACCTTTAGTCTATTTATCTATCTATTTTCCTTTAGATTGTAAGCTCACGGGCGAGTCTTACATAGCACTGTTTAAAAGTTCTACAAATGTTAGACCAAAGTACATTGTGCAGCATTGTGGGTGATTGGTGGCATCTGAAGGGCGTTTAAATGTCACCAGGTCGACTTCTCAAATCTGACCTTTATGAATTGCATTAAGCACAGTATGAAACGTGTTTAGAAAGAAAAAAGGCACTGCCGGACTTATTAACTTTGCTACTTGGAAAGCAAAAATAGCTTTGGATCTCATATACATGAAATGCCGCTCGGGTCTGATGGCTGTGCACAGTGGGAGTTAAAGGCTGCCCATCCTAATCAGAGATTTTTCGTTCACTTTCTGATGCACATTTGTTCCCTTCTGATTTCTTCAAATGGACATATTTTTAACCTTGCAGCCACTTTTTGGCACTGGACACAGAAGGGCAACCGTAATAATTACAGCCAGCAATTCACAGTATCCATTAGCCTTTCATTCTGCCACAGAGATCTCAGACATTAAAATTACTGGTATTACTATGTCAAATTAGCTTCTCTTGGAACTGGAAGGGCACACAGCATACTACATGAACAAACAGAAGAAAACGCACAAATTGCAGTGGCCTAAAAGTAGAACATTTTACAAGGAATCTAAAATGGAATCCTCTAGGACAATAGCTGACATTAACAGATAAATTCTACTTCTATCACATTGGCCTAGAATCTACTACAATCACTACTCGCAGAGATTTTGTTCCAGTAAGTCTACGTACGGTGGGTTACCTGCAGCAAGGGTGAGTTTTCAATGACTATAAAGATCTTTACATCTGAACCGAAATCAAAACTTTCCCATTAATCAGCAAATTTACTGACAGCATATCGTCAACATGTCAATGGATTGATTTGATTTAAATCCTAATTTAACGGCATTAATTCAAACATTAAAAACTGTGCTGTAATATAAAACAGCAAAATATGCACACTGATTAAAGTAAAAAATTTTTTTAAAAAGTTCTGGACATTATGTGAAAGCAACTGCCCCATAGACAGCAGCTCAGCATGAATGGATTTCTACAACATAGAAGCGATAACAAAGTATGTGTATAGCTGCAACGACTATTACTATTATTATACTGGTTATACTTAACACATTTTTACAATTTAGTTACCTAGGAAATTGGGGCACTAATTTAAATACAGACGTACATGTTGTAAAATAAAAAGAGCCCGCTACTGGTCTTTAGTAGAGGGGGAGGGGGGCATAGCAAAATTCACATAATTCTGACATTGTGAGTTTATTTAATTAATGGATGATTTTGAATGTTTCCATTTTAAAAAGCCCTATTGTGGAATAACACATTATGGAAAGTATTACGTTGTATTTTATTTGAATGAAGGATTTTTTTCAATTACTATACTTGCGTAATGTTACCTTTTCTTTTAAATAATTTTATTCTTAAAAAACATACTCCTCCTGGCTTCCTCGTTTCCTGTCTGCTCCAAAGAAATCCCAGGTGGGGATCATTCCACTGGCACCTTATCCATAGAGTAGTTTGCCTGCTCCACCTTTGTGAGTATTTATTATTTTTAATATTTTATCAATTTTATCGTAATACAGAGCACTATTATCTGCTGTCTACATATTTGGGTCCCACGACACCATCTTCTACAGACACTCGCCAAAACACCTATTCGCTATTAAAACTGGAGCTGGTCATATAGCTCCACCAAATGTGAGTAGCTTCTATTGTTTTATTACCTATTACTCATTTAAGTTGATATATTGCACTATTGGATTTCTCGTTTTCTTGTCTTGCATATTTGTATGGGTTACACGAAGAAATCTACTACCCATCATATTCGCTGATGGAAGGACCTACTGCCTACTCAAGAATTCCTATTGGATTGCAAATTAATTTTAAAAGGGTACTCATAATTTATAGACTATTTTGGATTATTTTTAAGGCTGCTTTGGACTTTATTTTTACCCACACCTACTGTATATTATTGATAAAAGAACTTTGTCATTCCTGTACATTTGTGGCAAAACCTTTTTTCTTTGTTACACCTATATCTGAATTATATCTGAATTTCGGTCAAAGCTGATCTAGCTGGTCCCAGAAACTAAAAGCAAAACATTTACCTTATGTTTTCATGAGAGCCACTTACCAAATGTCCAATGCCACAGTACCTACATCACAGCAATACAGCAATGTTCTCCCCAGGATTCAGTTAAGGCAAGTAATCATCCAACTAATAAGTTGGCGCTATATAAAAACAATAACTACTGAAAGCTACAAACTAATATAGTTTGAGAGAAACGAAAATCAATACTAAACTGTGACAGCTTAGGACAGGGGTATTCAACACTCCCTCCCGATGTCCTGGAATGGAGGTCCTCTTATGCTTTGCCACCATTATGGATGTAATAACATTATGAGAGATGCAGTCCACAACATCTGGAGTGCTAGAAGTTGCCTGCTCCTGTTTTATAACATTTTGTTTCCTGCAATTTTTACAAATTAGGGCTGTGGATTTTGTTCAGTTTATATACTAAACAAAAAGTAAGTCCAACATTATGTACATCTATGTTTTGTGTACACTGATACTGTTCATGGGACTCATGTTGCATAGCAATCCAAGATTTCAAAACACATTCGCACAAGTGTATAAAATTTTTTTTTTTTTTTAAAGTAGATCTGTACACTATATTGATAACTGTGGTTATCACATTCTGATAAGTGTTGTGTATACGATAGCCTACAGTCCTGTAGAAGTTAAGCTATATTAAGATGATGTTCAAACAATAAGTAACTACCTCTTGTTTAAAGGGATAGGCAGTCAACCATTGAACATGTAGACAACAAGTTCAGCAAAAAGTTGGTATACCAATAGAAAACACACACAAACAATATATTGACTGAAGTTCAGTTGTGCTTGCTCCCAGATGGCTCCATTTCAAATTGGAGTTGTAAGAGGACAAATGTTGCATGTGTTGTGAGATGTACTCATTGCAAACCATTGTGTCTAAGTTTAGTGGCACAGCAGCAAGTCAGCATCCAAAGAGTACTATATCAATTTCTGTAACCTATCTCTGTACATCTGATGAAACTTGGAGTGACAGATATACATTTTAATTTGGAATTACCATCTTACAATATGAAACTCAACTCTGCATTAAAGCCTATGATGTCGTTTAGAACTCATATTGCAAAACTCAGGTTACATTAAGAAGACTTTTCAAGGATTTTTTCTGCTTTTTGGACAGTGAGGAAACCAATTAACACCATAATTGACAATAATATACTTTAATATTTTGCTTCTGGTCAATGGTCAGCTTTTTGACTGTTTTATACACATACAGAATGCGCGTGTGAAAGATGTATGCAATCAAATTAATAGATATCGCTTGAAAATGACCTCCTATCGGGTGACCCGCAAATATCCTTTGGTTCAACATGGATTTGTCATCGATTGCATACGACAAAAACAGACAAAAAATATATATTATCATGTAATTTAATATCGGACTGCGCGGAAATGTGATCGAGATATAATTAAGGATGATCCCTGTAAGCATCAAACGATGCCATCTTCCCTTAATTGTCACATTAATAATGTTGAATATTATCATCAATAGAAAGAAAAAATGATTCTCTAAAGCAGTTATTCCTCTGTGTCTTTTTTGCTAGTCTCCTGTCCCTCAAAAATTGGATACTTTTTCTCCACTTCTGCCCAACTTATCAAACCGTTTGCCAAGTCGCGAACAATCCCAGGAAGTTCAGAAATCTGAAAAGAAAACATGTGATGTCATATTATTAAAGTTATTCACCTGTAAAAATACGCTTTACTAGATTATTATAGAGACCATAATGCTACCATAAGCTGCTGATCCAAATAAGCACAAACCTTTAAACACCATAATGCATGGGACATATCAAAGGGTAGGCTCCCTCATAGTGGTAATAATATGTAAAGAAAATTAAAGAATTGTTACAGGTGTTAGACAGCACGGCCGTTCGATTGGACTATATCAGTTTTGTATAACAGCGAGCAGCACAAGCACACAAGCTGCGGCTCGGCCAAGAGCTTAACTTGCTTTACAAAGCAGTACGGCAGCGTTTTGTGGATCAACTAATTATCCCATAAACCCCTAAAACTCTAGGCTCACTGAATAAACCGTGATTTGATTGGAACCTTTATGGTATTCACATTTTACATTTTTTTAAATTAAATTGTTATGCCTTTTTTGAAATAAATATTATTTATATAATGCGCAAACAAATTAAGTGGGGTGGGGAGGTATTTTACCCCCATAGACTCCCTTTAACTTTTATTGTCCTAGGAAGACACCCTGGTGACTTACTTTCCAGCTGCGCACGTCCTAGTCAATGACCAGGATATGAATGCAACGTGGATTTTGAGTGACTGAAAGTCCAAACAAAACATTAAAAATGTCTGATTGCAAGTAGCTCAGTTGGCTATCTCAGCACCTGCTTTCTGAGACACAGGGGTTACATACAAGATAAATGGAGGCAGTTACCATTATATTAGAATTTATCAAAAGGTGCTATTTGATGCAACAAGCATTCATTTGAAGGCAGGGATGGCTCTTTAGGATGAAATAAAGAGAGATGTCTCCTTTAGATATATTGCACATATTAGTATTATAAGGCAAGATTATAATTTAACATTGCCTGCGTTATGGTCTGAATCCCCGAGCATCAGACAATCAGAATTCTGGGACAAAGAAACAACTATTGTGCATGCAGGTCCACACATTACATTCAGGTGCAGCTGAGATTTAAACAGGGTTATCTTAGACCTATATATTTATAGGCAATTTGAAAAGTGTGATGGACAGATTTCAATCATAAATAACAAACACACTTGAATTACTTAGATTGAGGAGCAAGTCTTTGACACAAAAACAAACAAAAAAACTGTAATATGCTATTTATGGGTATAAATAAACATCACTCCAAAAGTAGAGCATGTCTTATTGCGTATTAAATGTGGAGAACACATTGTGTTTGTTTTGTACTTTACTATTATAAACACAGAATGAGCTTGTTGGGGAACTCCTGTTAAGTGATACGGAAAACACATTTCCTACATTTAGGCCAATGTAAAAAGCAGCTGGAAAAAACTGAAAATTTTTCAGTTGGCAATACTGATAAATCCATAGAATCACTAGAGAATAGCATACGAGGTCTGTCCAGAAAGCATCCCGCCATGTAATATGAAAAATGGAGACATTTATTGAAGAAGAAACAAGAATCATTGTACATAGGGCATTGACGCCTCAGTCTCCTTCAAAGTAGGCACGTTGGGACCTCACACAGTTCTCTCAGTGTCTCTTCCACTGTTCAAAACACTCTGCAAAATCATTTGTTGGAATCGCCATCAGCTGCATCATAACGTTTACCTGGATCACATCCACTGTCTGAAATCTCTTCCCTTTTAAAGAAGATTTTTGTTTTGGGAAAAGCAAGGGCGCCAAATCTTTCAACAGATTCTCGCTCGACCATCTTTGTGGCGTTTGAGCCACACTTTTATTGGGCACTGGACTCATTGCATTGTCCCCGAAAGCCTTCTAAACTATCCAAATAGTTTCCACGGAGGCATGTTGAAGCTTAACGCAAAATTTGATGCAGATTCATTGCTCTACTCACTCAGTCATTTTGAATAAGACATCCACACAAGACTCACTGACCAGGACAGTGAAGTAGTCATTGTTCACGCATGCGCATTCCAGTCCGCTCTCCTTGGCTTCCAAGTTACATTGATGTAGAGCAAACCGTTCTCGTCATATTACCAATGGCTGAATTTTTTCTGGACAGGCCTCATATATAAAAAATAATGACAATTTGGGTGCAAATGAAGCAACAATTGAAAAGTCCCCCCAAAACCAGTGAATTGTGAAAAAAAAATAAAAAACATAGGAATGACACTTTAATAATTCATCCCGCCATGGGTGTACATTGTTCTGAATTACCACTAGAAGGTCTGAGGGACAAGTGGAGGGACCCTGGTTGCCCAGCCATGACTAATTTCAATATACCACAGAACATTTCGTGGACAACGGTGCAAAGTAATTACCTCAGCACGGATTTGCCTCATGCTGTCACGGTCTCTAAGTGTTGCGGTGTGAGGTGTGCGGTTGACTGTATCAAAGTCTATAGTAATTCCAAAGGCCACACCGATCTCGTCTGTGCGGGCATAGCGTCTTCCTATGGAACCCGAAGAGTCGTCCACTTTGTGGGATACACCATTCTTCGTTAATGCTTCAGCTATGGAAATATTGAGACAACGTCAATCAATAAGCAATATAACATGCTGGTCTGCATGATGATGAACGATGAAAAAAAAGAATAAATCTAAAACAACATGTAAATGCAGTCAATAATCTATTTTCATACATGGAAGTGATGGGAATTTTATCCCACACAGAGCCCCTGTTATTCATAATTCTGATTTCATCGATAGAATGAACCACAATTAATCAAAAGGGAACTTCAATTTGTATGCCGTAGTAGCTGAATTAGAAACATTCTCCAAAATATATTTTTAAAACTCTTCTAAAAAAAAAAAGAAAAACGAAAATCCCTTTAGTGTAAAACTTTAAAATATTACAAAGGTCTGTAAAGTGAAACCGAAAGAGATCACTGACAGGCCTGCGTCTCGAGCCCGACTAGCTGCGGGACAGTAGGAACTGTAAATCTGTCTCTTTAACCACTTAAGGACCAAACTTCTGGAATAAAAGGGAATCATGACATGTCACACATGGCATGTGTCCTTAAGAGGTTAAAGATCCACGCCTGTTTTACACGATTCAGGCTACTGGGAGGGTGGGGGGGTGTTATTAAATTTGACACATTAAAATGAGATACAGAAATTTGCACATCTGGTACTTACATAATTCTTTGACAAATGGTACAAATTCCTGATTTTGGCTGAGCGGAAGCACAGAGCATTTATATGGTGCAATAATGGCAGGGAAGCTGAAGTACTGAAAAAGAAAAAAACAAAACCCATCATTATGAATATAAAACAGTTACGTTCAAGAAAAGCCGGACGCAATAAATGGAAAGGGAAAAAAATAAAAATGACAAAAGAGTTAATGTGAAAGGATAACATGCTAAGAAGGACCTGCTAAAAGACGTTTATAATGTAAAGTAACTATAGCGCAATTTAATGTCCATGGAAACCAGTTTAAAAAAAGTTTAACATTATTTTCACGAGGTTCTTCGTGTGGCCATTACCTACCCATCCTAACAAGAAAATATTATTTTTAACATTGTAAATCATCAACAATTAAAGTGGCCCTGCAACAAAATTATAATTATTAGGGACACTCCAATGCACAGATCCCCAAAAATGTTAATCACTGTTTTGCAGATATAACTCAATGAAAACATGCATGCATTTAATTATCATTTGTCATTGAGAAGGGTGGGGGAGCATATCTAAAAACTGCTTGGAAAAGCTACAGTCCTCTTGTCTGCAGCCTTTGCAAGCCCTTCTCTTCTAACCCCACCCAGACTTTCTGCATCTGTCCAATAACAGACTTCCCAATGCAGCTCCAGCCACCTAGGGGGTCAGCCTAGACCTGCGATGGCCAATTGTTGGCTGTTGTGGACTACATTTAACACAATGTTCAGCCAGTGAAAAACATAAAAAAAAAATAAAAATAAAAAAATAGACCGTATTTAGTATTTCTCAGGAGAGGTGATTGCAGAGCTGATGTTTTTTTTGTGTAACACAGAAACATAGAATGTGACAGCAGATAAGAACCATTTGGTCCATCTAGTCTGCCCAATTTTCTAAATACTTTCATTAGTCCCTGGCCTTATCTTATAGTTAGGATAGCCTTATGCCTATCCCACGCATGCTTAAACTCCTTTACCGTGTTAACCTCTACCACTTCAGCTGGAAGGCTATTCCATGCATCCACTACCCTCTCAGTAAAGTAATACTTCCTGATATTATTTTTAAACCTTTGTCCTCTAATTTAAGACTATGTCCTCTTGTTGTGGTAGTTTTTCTTCTTTTAAATATAGTCTCCTCCTTTACTGTGTTGATTCCCTTTATGTATTTAGTGTAGTTAGGGACTACAGCTTGTAATATAATGAAAACTATTAACAATTCAGGTTTGAAGTTGTTAATATACAGTCTAGCCATGTGGTTACAATCTTTCACTAAACTCACTACATCGAAGAAAATAGGTTTAATAGAAATCACATATTTTATTTTTATTTTTTTTAATGTTTTTTCCTTTTTTTTTTTTGCAAAAAGAAGTCCAAATCATTCCAAAATGCGTGTTATTTCATACATATTTTCTAACAAGGATATTTCACCTGGATTACAACTTGAAGAGTCCTGAGGGCAGGAGCAGATCCCAAGCATACATAAGTATCAGAATCGAAAGAAGGAAGTATGATTAAACTGCTGATCCTTCTAAGTAAATATTAAAGGGACAGTGTAAGTACCAAAATCACTTCAACTTAAAGTGGTGTTGAGGCGCCGTTGCTGATCCAGCAGCCTTGCTCTCGAAAGCAGCATTGGCTCTGAGATAGGACTGTTTACATTTTCACGCACTAGCATGTTTCATTGAAATCATAGAGCCGGACTTATATAAATTTGATTTCAAATAATTTGCGGCTGCTTGTGTGCCGTTCATACCGTCGAGATCAACAGCATCCAACAGCCAGCAAGATCTTACCGTTCTCTGCTCGTCTCCTTGTCGGATTTGGAATGTGTGTTCGAAAACCGTGTACATGATCCTTCCAAGACCGAATGAGGGCTCAATCACATTTGGTACAATTTCCTCAACTGGAGGGAGATGAGGGGAGAAAAAAAGTTTAGTGTACTTTTTTCCCAGGGTGGTTTTTTTCTTCTTCTTAAATTAAATTAAATTAAAAACAAAAACTATTTTCAAGCCGTAATGGGACACTCTAAACACAATAACTACTGTAATTTGTTGCAGTGGTCTGGCAAAAACAGGGTTGCTCCCAATATCAAAAAGAGACTCTTTGGTCACTGAACAGTTGACTTCTGCTGTACCCCTATAAATATGTTATAGTGATGGGCTGCACTGCCTTTCTAGAATAGATAGATACGCATGGTGGATGAGGAGTTCAGCTTTGAGTACCAAGAGCGCTCTGGGTTTATATCAAACTGCTCCAGAACATATGGTGGCTACAATGCAGTATTCTAATGTCAATACATTTCTCAATATTTTACTTCAATGGGCATTTAGTAAATTGTGGCAGGAAAGTGGTTAAAATTGGCACCAAACAAAAGTTTTAGTAAAACAGTTTGTTTTTGGCAGAAGATCAGAAAGTGCAGCTTTATTTTTAATTGTTTAGCAGTGTTTTTCTTTTAGGTTTATAAAGTGTAGGCCACGGTCGCATTTTCAACTGTTTCCATGGTAACCGTAGAATTCTATTGAATTCCTTCCCTGTGCTATTGGCCTGTTCCCATAGTTATAAAACAGTCAAGGTTTTTTCGGTGTAGAGTGGAAGAGTAAGCAGTAAGACACACATTGTGAAATAACAGGCGTGGGAGGAGGGGTCAGCACAATGCACAGCGCGCTGTAATTCACAAGCTATTCTTATTGTTACTGGAAGCCTTCTGCTCCTCTATGCCTATACATATTCTAAGTGAAGCAAAAACAAAAGAATAACTCTGGCATACAGCTTTTATTGTTCCAAATGCAAGAAGAGGTGAATAACGTTTACCGTTGTATAACCCATCACGTCAGAACACAGGCCATACAATAAGCAGGGTCTTCTGTATCAACATTCTATATTGCACTCAATAATAGGACAAGATCAGCTTTATTTCAGATAGATACAGACTCCAAGGCCATCATTTAAGGCACAATAACATAAAATGACAGCTTTCAATTCTGATCTTCTGCAGAACATCTTATGACTCACTTAACAGGAAGCTAACAAACCCAGACCTACACAAAGTACCTCCACACAAATTCCAAACTCTCTCTCTGTTTGAAACAACAAAAATGAAACTTTAACAAAGTCTTACTGGACAGATCTACCACCACTAAAAGAATCCCCAGTGTGAATGGTGTGCAGCCGGTCAATGCATTATGGCACGGTTCTTTATAAGAAGCTACTCCAGTTACAAACAAACAAACAAAGATTAAAAGCTTTGAGCTACAATTACCAAGAACTTAAAACCTTGGCTTATTTCATCAGCAAAATCATTGTAGGACTAAGTCACCAAAAGACTTCAATATGCAATTGGCTCTGTGTCGGAGAGAATTTTAAAACCCATGTTCGGTTTTTAAAAATTTAAAAGTTCAAAGGAAAACATAATGTAGGGAAAGGCTGATTATAAAATATATGTATATAAAAATACATAGGGTTTGACTCTGGGCCAAAGAGCACACACACAAATTAAAGAGAAATGGCTAATTAACCCTATAAATTAGCATTAATAGGGTTAAAGTGTGCTGCAGCGGTAAGCAGAAGACGCACTTATCTTCATAACATTTCCAGGTGTTGGCACCTTCGTCGTCCCAACATATGTGAGATGCGTTTTAATATGTTATCCCATAAAGCTGTACAAATGTCACTGGGATTTACAGTAAACATCATACTGGCAGCCTCCCATTTTATAAAAAAACTAATAAAAAAAAAAAAAAAAATTGTGCAATCCATACCTTGCTGTAGAATGGTGTATATATCCTAGAATATGTATGTTTAAATTGTAGTTTTTAAAAAACATTGGAATAGCAGCATTTTTAGGTATCTCCATTATTGTACAGGAGCAGATGGGAGATAAATAGAAAAGGTTTTGATGGGAGTCAAGTTTTGTGGTTGGCTAATGATAAATAACGCTGATCTTACCATGTATGGTTTTCTGAAACTTCTTTACGCTGACCATGTCCTTCGTTAGCTGAAATGTCTTCCCTTCTGTTTCAATAGTAAATTCCCTGAAATCGGAAAAAAATGATTAATGGGTAATGCATTAATACAGGTAAACCAAATTTAAAGCCCTACCGTGGATACAGGACTCCACAATGTACAAGTGCCTAGAGCAGACCATGCATTGCCAGGTTAAGACAAGCTGCAGATTGATTTGGCGGTGCAGGGAATAGAAGAAAGGCATATATTGCTATTTTGCTACCTTACAAAATCTTCAAAAGCCAATAAAACAGTCATTTTATGTCGTGGCTCATTTCCCAAAACGTGGACCTCATGCTATGTTCAGTGAGACACCAAGTGTGCAGATATTACCAAGAGGCAACAAGCATACGTTTCTGTAATAACGTCTAATTTTCTAATCAGCTCCTGCTATTGCTGCAGTGAGGTCACAATTTGCAAGAACTGAACAACAAACAGTAAATTTAGTAAACTGTAAACTTTCTGGTACCCATACAGAGGTGTTTGAGATGTAATATTAACAGGAAAGTACATCGACAAAAAATAGAAAATAACTACAACACCAATTTCATCATTTTGAGATATCTTTTTTCAGAAAATCCAAGCAGGGGGCTTCTACTGTCTAGGCTAATACAACAGATAACTATGATATGCCAAACATGGAGCTGGGAGACACTATGAGAGTAGTACATCCAGACGTTCCCTCCCTGGCACAATACACACAGCGTGCATCTTCACACACCAGTTTTGGGAATTAAACAGATTTATATTGTAAGCTCAGGCTGCACCAGGGAGGTTGAAATGAGAAACTAAAACAAAACTCTTTTTTAAAGGGACACTGTAGTCACCTAAACAACTTTAGCTTAATGAAGCCGATTTAGTGTATAGATCTCTCCGGTTTTACTGCTCAATTCTCTGCCATTTAGGAGTTAAATCACTTTGTTTCTGTTTATGCAGCCCTAGCCACACCTCCCCTGGCTATGATTGACAGAGCCTGCATGAAAAAAACTGGTTTCTCTTTCAGTCAGATGTAATTTACCTTAAACAATTGTATCTCTTTCTCTGTAAATTAAACTTTAATCACATAGAGGAGGCTCTTGCAGGGTCTAGCAAGCTATTAACATAGCAGGGGATAAGAAAATCTTAATTAAACAGAACTTGCAATAAAGGAAGGCTAAACTTTAGATGACTCTTTACAGGAAGTGTTTAGGAAGGCAGTGCAAGTCACATGCAGGGAGGTTCATAAACAAAGCGATTTCATTCCTAAATGGCAGCGGATTGAGCAGTGAGACTGCAGGAGCATGATCTATACACCAACACTGCTTTATTAAGCTAAAGTTGTTTTGGTGACTATAGTGTCTCTTTAACTAAAAGAAAATATAACCAGCAGCCAGCTTTTAGTTAAATACAGTCAGGCAATTAAAGCATACTAATCCTCTATACACACACACACACATTTCCGTAGAGATTATTAAATGAAATACTCGTACCCTTTTTCGTTTAGCAGCTGCTCCATTTCTGTGATGTAGCGGGAATCGCAGATAGCGAGATATTCCATGACCAGCTTGGCATCTTTCTTGAAGGCTTTGCCAAGGGCTCCCTTATTGGCATCAAACTGGATTACATTCACAGTTTTGTACACTTGAGTCAAGAAACTTAAACACCAGAGCTGTTTTTTTTTTTTGTTTGTTTTTTTAAACACAAATTAAGGACCCTATTGCAGTTAATCTTAAATCACCATTATAGCAAATGGTATCACCCCATCAGAAGCGTTTTGGAAATACAGTGCACGGGCGTAACAATATTGCTTCAAAAGTAGCTAATGAACTAACCAGAACATAGCTGATATAAAAAAAAATTAAAAAAAAAAACATGAAAAACTATTAAAAAAAACAAAACATGATTCATATGAAAATGGGGGCAAAATAAGTTAATAAAAATAAATAAAATCCAAAACACATGACAGAAAGCCAGTTTGTATGAATACCCCTTACCCGAATAGTATTGATATCAAACTTCACACTGTAACGCTTATCCTATCCGCGGAAATTAAAATATTAAACCAAAATAGCTCAATTAAAAAAAAAAAGAGATCTGGCTAATGTGGCCTAAAATGTGCTATTATCTTGTTGAATTCTCAATTAATAAAAACGCATGATACCATTACTCAATCAAACTGTGATGCTCTAGCGCCATCTGCTGGTAATAAAGCAGTTTCTACATCGCACTAAAACTATCTATAGAATATAAACACCCCAAATCAAGGATATGGGCTCCTTAAGTGGCTTTTCAGCAACGAGGGGGACTTTAGTGGCTCTGGCGTGACAGGAGAGGTCATAACATGATCGATCTGCGCAGCCAACAATTTCTATCCAACCCTAGAAAAAAAAAAACACACAAATTAGTCATTGTTTTCAAACCTCTTAGGTGAGTCCTACACTAACAATTCACCTTGCGTCTTTCACCCCTTAAGGACACATGACGTGTGACATGTCAGGATTCCCTTTTATTCCAGAAGTTTGGTCCTTAAATGGTTAAAGGGACACTCCAGGCACCCAGACCACTTCTGCCCATTGGAGTGGCCTGGGTGCCAACTACCACTACAATTAACCCTGCAACTGTAATTATTGCAGTTTTCATAAACTGCAATAATTACCTTGCAGGGTTAAGTCCTCCCCTAGTGGCTGTCTACAAGACAGCCACTAGAGGGCACTTCCTGGTCCATAGCCATAGCACGCTGTGTGAGGACCTCCAGCGTCGCTAAAATCCCCATAGGAAAGCACTGAAAAGCATGCGCATTAGAGCTCCCCAGCCTAAGCTATTATTAATGGGGCACTCCAGGCTCCCACACACGTTACATGCACTGTCTAGTTTAGGTTACAGCTAGTTATACTGGGTGGGTTTATATTATTAAAGGGACACTCCAGGCTCCCACACAGGTTAGATGCACTGTGTAGGTTAGGTTACAGTTAGTTATACTGGGTGGGTTTATATTATTAAAGGGACACTCCAGGCTCCCACACACGTTAGGTGCACTGTGATGGTTAGTTTACTGTTCGTTATCCTGGGTGGGTTTATATTATTAAAGGGACACTCCAGGCCCCCACACGTTAGTGCACTGTGTAGGTTAGGTTACAGCTAGTTATACTGGGTGGGTTTATATTATTAAAGGGACACTCCAGGCTCCCACACACGTTAGATGCACTGTGTAGGTTAGGTTACAGTTAGTTATACTGAGTGGGTTTATATTATTAAAGGGACACTCCAGGCTCCCACACACGTTAGATGCACTGTGTAGGTTAGGTTACAGTTAGTTATACTGGGTGGGTTTATATTATTAAAGGGACACTCCAGGCTCCCACACACGTTAGATGCACTGTGTAGGTTAGGTTACAGTTAGTTATACTGGGTGGGTTTATATTATTAAAGGGACACTCCAGGCTCCCACACACGTTAGATGCACTGTGTAGGTTAGGTTACAGTTAGTTATACTGGGTGGGTTTATATTATTAAAGGGACACTCCAGGCTCCCACACAGGTTAGATGCACTATGTAGGTTAGGTTACAGTTAGTTATACTGGGTGGGTTTATATTATTAAAGGGACACTTCAGGCTCCCACACACATTAGATGCACTGTTACAGTTATACTGGGTGGGTTTATATTAATAACAATTCACATAGAGAGAACAAGTAGGCCTATCTCTCCCCTCCTTAAGAGGGAGAGAAAAGTATTAAAAAATAATTACTTTAACCCCTTAGTGACCAGACCGGTTTTTAATTATCTTACCGTTAAGGACCAGGGCTGTTTTTACATTTCTGCTGTGTTTGTGTTTAGCTGTACCCACACATATTATATACCGTTTTTCTCGCCAAAAATTCTAAAATATGATTTAAAAAAAAACAAGAAAAACAAGAAGAAAAAAAAAAAACACTTTTTCTAACTGGCAGCTCCATAGACTCCTATTGCGGCCATGTGATCATGGTGATCATGGAGGGCCAGGGTGGCCGGAGCTGCTGCAAAGGGACAGCTGGGATCTCAGGCAGTGTCCCTCCCCACCGGGATTGCTGCGGATCGCCGGTCCAGGGTTCCTATTTGCCGCTGGCGTATCAGGTATGTAAGAGGTCGTTAGCGACCGTTTTTGGTCAGACGTACCTGGTACGTCCTCTGTCGGAAAGGGGTTAAAGTGACCCGCATTGTGATAATGGAGGTCACTATAAAGTAATTATTTTTTTTAAAAATATTTCATTTCTATAATTGAACACAGTTTGCAATGTATCCACACTGACCACCAGAAATGACTTACATAGGAGGTTTTAGCTTCAGCATCCCAGCAATCACAAGCATAATGCGCCATCTCATTCTCCATGTGCTGTCTGAAACGCAGCTTCTCCGGCGAGATTCCCACTCTCACCAGGTACTGATAGATTCTACCAACAAAGTATCCCAGGACAGAATTATTGATCACACCCTGGGAGAGGAAGGAGGAGTGTTAATCGTTTTATATTTAAATTCCATATTATTGCCCTAAAACTTGCTAAATGCCATTAACATAATGACTTTGTATTTGTCTATGCAAATCACAAAGAGTGGAAAAAAAGTGTAAACAAAAAATAAAAAGTGGAATATACAAAGACCACATAATAGAGAAGTGACTTACTGTTAACAATTAAAGAATATAGGAGGGACCAGCAATACCAGCACAAAAACAGAGGCAGTTCATGCAATCATCACAGTTATATAGGTTGGTAAGATGTATAGTAAATATATTGTTAAACACAGATCTGCACACACTGGTCCACCAGTCAAGCCATAAAACTTGCTTATCTCACTTTTGCAGTGATATTACTAGTGCAAGGGATTCTGGGTGGGCATATGCAAATTAGTTCAACAAAGAACCAACTTTTTTGTCTAATTTATTCCACTTTAAACATGAATTCTTTGGAGTTTAGGTCTGCTTTATAAGGCTTTGAAACACAACTCAGGAAGAGATGCAAAACCGGATAACTCGAAGACAGACGTTTCATTGTTAATGCAACTCATCAGCACGAGATTGGTTAGTGTCTTGCTATTGAAACTTGGCGTTAATTGTGGAACACAAGCCAAAAAAGTTACGGTGGGGTAAAAAAGTGATGGAAAACCTATTCCTGCTGAAGTCAGTGGATAGTTAATACATTGTTAAACACTGACCTGCACACCAGTCAAGCCATAAATCTTGCTTTTCCCACAGAAATCTCACATTTGCAGTGATGTACTACTGCAAGGAATTCTGGGTGGGAACATGCATATGAGTTCAACACAGAACAACTCTTTTGCCTCATTTATTCCTTTGAACAACACTACACACACACGCACGCACACACACACACACACACGCATTAATATGCCAACACAACACACAAAGACTCCCTGAATCAAACAGTCTCAAACATCAGCATTATACACAAATATTCACTAAAATATACTCCACATTCACATATACTGCATACAAATAGAACCCTGCAAGTAAGGATCAATAGTCAATCTACAGCTGGCAAAGCGTCATGGGATTTGTACAGCAGCTAAGAATTAACTTTCTGCCCCCTCTGCCCTGCTGCAGGTAACAGATTCTTGCACGGGGCCCCTCTAGTTTCTAGAGATTTCTGCATGAACGGTTTTTGGATATGTCTTTATAACCTGAATATTCACTTACCTGCTCAACAGCACTGCCTAGTCGCATTTTTGTGGCAGACTCCCCACTCAACTGAGCTTGGGAAGAGTATAGCAATATGTTCAAGTCAGCTACATTCTCAAATTTGGGGTGTTGTTTTTCATTAGGGTCTACAAAGTGTTCTATTTCTGCCATGGTAAACTCTCTGGAAGGAATATAAAAAATATATAGGTTAAGCTATACGTGTACGAGATATGCCCTTCTCCATCCTTAGAGCAATGAGAGCCCATCGGGCCACAGCATCATTTATTTAGCCAGGTCAAGGGTGACTCGTAATAACCCCGATACTGGGGATCTACAGAGAAATACTGTACGAGCTCACACACTCTCTGAGGTTTCGTGGTATTTTAGTGGGTCCTGTTGGTCCTTTATTTGTGTAAACCAGGAACAGTTTTATGTTGGACATTTTGATAATACATAAAGAGTTCATTAAACAAACCTCATCTCTAATGTAAAATACAGCCTTGGCCACAAGTTCATTAAACAGAAAACTGGAAGTAAAATCACATATACCTGCATTCTAAAAAGCGCACTATAATATTAGAAATATAAACCTCTTTTTTAATATAAGAGTATACCCCTGTTGATTTAGATTAATGAATGCCTCTGTAACTGCTGCATATGTCCCTAACACCACTTTAAGATTTAAATAAAAAATAAAAAAAGTGCAACTTACCTTCATTCCCTCACAGCGCCATTCTTTCCATGGCCCCCCTCCGCCCCTGGCTGCCAATTATAGAAGGGCAAATAAAATACTGAATTACCGTACTCTGATGAGTCCAGAACGGGGTGAAATTTCATTCCTAAAAGAATTCCCAATCTGAGCCGCAGCAAACGGCAGTTTTCCCTGGTTAAATTCTAAAAGCCGTTTAAAGTTAAGGAAGATTCCCTGTGCGGTTTCTGGTCTCAAGTATCTGCGGATGAGAAATAAGTGAAAGTTAGCACAGGATACCATAGTTGTTAATAAGTACCTATGCCCTGCACTGCACATTAAAGATTAAAATCGCTAAAAGATTGACCACGCAATTTATAACATTTTACTTAATACACATTTTAAACAAATAAAATATAACGTTTTTACATTTAGTGTAATCTAATTGGTAACACCAATAATCATTGCAAAGGATATTGTACAGAGAATGTGTCTCTTTTCCCAGAGCAGCAGACAAGTGCTTACTTCCTCCTTTGACTCATGAGATCCAATCTGTGCATTCCGTAACACTAGCAGAAGAGATCTCGCTCCATCAGTAAAGCCAGCACAAGTGGCTGCATGGGTCATATACCCTGAGGCATAAACTATGTATGAACAATAGATTAAATACTGCACCAGTAAACAAAATGACAATTCAGGATCAATCTAAAAAACACAAATAACATAACATAGTGCAAAATATTTGTTATATATGTTATGTAGAATAAAACTCACAGGATTTAGAGCCGTCACAGGTTCTATACAATATGCAGGAGGGTGCCTAAAAAGGCTAAAATGATATCCTTGAGGAGAGCAGCACAGGATACAATAAACAATTAAAACAGGGACAGTAAGCAGTGTATAAATAGTAAAATATACTAGGCACAAAGCCTAAATAAAACACCGCAGAGTAAATAAGAAAAAGTCCCAGATACAATACTTTGGTCTAGCAGCAAACGCGTTTCAACTCCAGCTGGAGTCTTCCTCAGTGCCGCATTGATTTAATGTAGAACATAAGTATTCATAAAAATAACCTAGACAATTCCAGAGGTCTCGTTAATAGATCTTCCCTTGGTAATGTTCAACCTTCACTTATGTCTGAGCTATGCCACACAGTCCATGGTCTCCCATCCAACCTACAGAGAATAACTGCATATGCATGTGCTTTGTCCCTTATAGGATGCTACTTGTATGTACAGTGTTCCTCCTTAAAAATGAATGGTACCCATTATAGGCTTCTTTCTAGCAGTGGTCATGGTTCCTTGAGTTTGTATGTTTTTAAATGTTGCACATACAGATTAACTAAATCTCTGGCAGCATCAAGGGGTGTCATTAGCCAGCCAAATGCAAGAGCCGGCTAATGTCAATTCTGTGCAACGTTTGTGGCATAAAATGACAGCCATTGGCTGAGAGAAGTCAACAACCAGCAGAAGCATGTCACTGCACCAACAGGGAGCATCGGAACCCAGCACACACCCCAATAAGAGGGTAAACCGTTTCTAAACAGGCTGTAGTGATTATGATGTTTTAAGCAACCCTGTAAGCATGTGGGCCACAAAAGAGTCAATTCACCAAACTCAAATTGGTTACAATGAGTTTTGCTGTGAGAGACATCTCCACTTTTAATTTGACTAGTGCATCTTATTGACCCATTGTCCAGCACTGCAGAACATGTTAATACTACAGTGGGACCTCGGTTTACGGATTTAATGCGTTCTCCGGGACGTTTCTTATTGCAAAAAATTTGTAAACCGAAACGCGGTTTCCCATAGGAATGCATTGAAAACCAATTAATCCGTTCTGGAGGTCAGAAAAAAGTTAAAATGAGCTGGCATGGAAACCAACCCACAATGCTGAACACACAATAAAAGGCATGCAAACAACGAAGCTCAGCTCACTTCCTTTCCACAGCTTGAGAAATGCACCAAAAATTCCCCAAAACAACTGCAAACAACTTCCAGAATGGCACCAAAACTCGATGCAAAAGCCGCCCCAACACCTCCACACTCCACGCCACGTGCTTCCCACAGGCTCCAGAATGCAGGGGGCGGTGCTATAAACCTCCCAGGTGCAGTGCATTCTGGGGAAACTTGCTTTGTATTGCGAAAAAAAATTGTAAACCAAGGCATTATTTTCAATGGATTTTCATTTGTAAACCGAAAAATATGTTAACTGAGGCGTTTGTAAACCGAGGTCCCACTGTATATAAATAAGTATAATTCATATTTCTAATAAAAGGAATGTAACGTCAGAGAGGTTGGAGGGGCTTGAAGTAGCAGAAAAACAAACTAATTTTTCAAAAATGTCCACACAAAACAGTGTGCAATAAAAAAATCTAAGTTGGTCTTAAATGATGTATACGAATTCAACTCAGTCATATCTGCCGCATTGTGGATGTTCATGTATTTTACCACCCACCTCCGGAGTTGTCTGCACTTCACCCACATTCTGAAATTTGTTCATGCCCTTGTTCTTCGGTCATCAGACATCCAATATGCACAAAATTAGCTTTAACCACCCAGAACTCCACTCCAGCAGCAGAGGGGTTGCACTCTGAATGTGCAGCATTTTATAACAAAACACTGCACACACCGCGTACTAACTGTTGTGCCTAGACTGTTTCTTTACATTTACAAGGAGTACATTATATAGAGCATTTCCGAAATACAGTGGATAACAGTGCCACAAGCCATAAAACATGCAGGAACATACCCGACCATGTTTCCACCAGGACCAATGGAAGTCTGGAACATCAGGTTGAAGGAGACAGGAGGAGAAAGATCATTTAATGTTATAGGAGACTTGACATTGTACTTCACAAAGAGGTCTGTAAGGTCTTGTTGACTGTAGTTGTCCATCTGAAAGAAATGGTCACATAAAATAGGAAATGTTGGTATAAGCAAAGCAAAAAAAACTAATTCATTCTGCGTTTCATTTATGGTCTTCAATAAATAAAAAAGGCTCGTTGACCATGTAATGGTGAAAACATATTCCACCAGTCTGGGCATCTTGCGACAATAAAATGTAAAAATTCTTAGAACATCAAATGGATTTCATAAATAATCAGACATCTAAGTGCATTAAAATTGGGTGTACAATGGCTTAATTCATTCTTGGTCAACATTTAATTTTTCCAGTTATTTTACATCTGCCATCTGAATGATGGTTTATCAGCCCAACTCTAAAGAGTCTTCCAGTTTAGTTTAGTTTTTTTTTTATATCCTTTTCCGCCAACACTAACCTGTGTCAAGACGCTCTCCATTTCAGCCTTTTTCTCTGACGTGCACTTCTTGTCAGACATCAGTTTCTGGAGGTGGGCTGAAAGTCACAAAACGACACTGGTACATTTACATTAAACGGTTTAGACAATTCACGCTATACAGCACACTATGTTAATGTAAAGCGAACCTGTTACTAATTATACATAATGTATCAGATATTAATTGCATATTCAATTTAACATTTTTAGATATTATCTCTGGTGCTACCACGTCTGCAGCTTTATGGATGTTAGTAAATTTAACAATCACCCCAGGAGTCGTCTGCACGATACCCATATTCTTACATCTGTCCGTGTCCTCAGACTTCCATATGTACAAAATGAACTCTATATCGGCAGCATTTAATAACAAAACGCTGCACACACAGACTCCAAAGAATGCCGAAGGACTTTATTGAACACACATCAGCTGAGCACATACAGACAGACACCAAGACCACTTCAAATCACTGATGTGACCATGCGGCTTAGCATAATCCTTTAAGATATGTTTCAATTAGACATTTATTAAACGGAGGATTTAAAGTGAATTTAAAACTCATGGTCCAAAAAAAACCTGCAAAAATTCCCTAACTCCAGCATTAAAATTTAAATTCCCTTTGCATGCTCACTTTAGTATATAAGTGATAGCAATCAAACACAAGTAAATAGGATCTATATGAAAATCAGCTGCTCCCTCTAAATACCTTGTTTCCTGGATAAATACTGCATAGGAGCCCACTATATAAAAGGTCAATAGACTGTTTAATAATCTAAAAAATAAAATAATAATGTACAAATCAAAAACACCAGATAAATACAAAAAAAAGTATTTTTTAATAAAAAGGTTATTACCCATTAGTTTAAAAATTCATAACAGAGAAAGAAATGTACATTAAATAATAATACAAAAGCAAATCGCAATGCACACAAATGGGTACAATGTTGGGCAGACTAGATGGGCCGAATGGTTCTTATCTGCCGTCACATTCTATGTTTATGAGAGAGGATCCGGATACCAAAATAAAACACTCAAAATGCCTCTCACGTGTGTGCATTGCTTCTGGTGTGTAATCCTGTTTTTCTGGTTGTTTGTTTTTGTATTTTTTATTATGTACACGATTTCCTGTGTTATGAATTGTTAAACCAATAATTATTGCAATTACCTGTTTATTGAAAAACTAGTTTTTTTTTGTATTTATTATCTGGCGTTTTTGATTTTTGCATTATTATTATTATAATATTTTATTTTTTGGATTATTAAATCAAGTCTCTTGATTTTTTAAAGAGTAGTCTCCTATGTAGTATTTTTAATGTTAGTAAATAACGCGGTCAGAGTTACTGCTTTCACACAGAGGGGGACATGTACAGCACCGGCAAGCTTTGAAAACGGAACCGAAAGATACACGTCCACCCACTATCTCATACTGACTGCACCATCCTTCATTAATATTCCCCAGCTTTTAGATGGACATTTACTTGACTTCCAGAAAATGCCAGAAGTACATTAATGTAATTCATTTTATTTGATCTGTATATACAATTAAATCACCTTTTAAAAGATGGTCTGCACGAAAGCACTCTCCATTCTTTACATCTTTCACCATGAAGTCTGCAAACTTATCAACATGACCGGAAGTTCTAAAAATAAAAAACAGACAGAAACGGTGAGAAACCAGTAGAAAGTAACACACAGTGCAGTACGTTTAATATCCACACTCTTGTGATACATTAACCCCGGATATTTTGCTCAGTGAAAAATTGAGCAAAGTCATCAGCTCATTCTGCAAAAATCACATTACATTGCCTTCTATCCTAACTGCTCCCAAATTCTGCACTTTGCTTTCATGCTCAAAGTTTATATAAAATATTGTGAAAGCTGCTTACAGAATAACAAACAATAAATAATTAAAGGGACACTGTAGTCAACGAGACCACTACATCAGTGGTCTGAGTGCAGGGGCCCTGTCCTTGTAAAACACTGCATTAAAAAAATAAAAATAATATTTACATTGCAGGGTTAAATCAACCTGTAGGGGCTTTCATACTGACAGCCACTAGAGGGACTTCTGCTGCACTGACTAAGCAAAACCTGGTCACGTTAAAGGAACATTAAAGGCACCCAGACCACTGAAGTTGTGTGGGTGCAGTTTCCCAGGCCCCCCTAAGGTACCCTCTTGTGGCCGTCTACCAGGTAGCTACAAGAGGCACTTCCGGGGGGTTTACCAGACTGTGGGTCGCTTATATAACGCTGGACGTCCTTACACTCTGCATGAGGAAATCCGGCGTCAGTGAAAAACCCACAGCAAGTGTCTGCTTTAAATATAGCCTTGGACAGAATTTTACAGAAGTTGAGCAACAGACTACAGAATACAGAGAATGGAATTACTTGAGAACAGGTTCCGGGGTGAGCATAGTGCAGTCTATCTCCAGGATCTGCTCTTCTTGGATAAAATGCTGTCTCCAGGTCTGGATGATGTTATTTTTCAAGGCGCATCCAACAGGCCCAAAATCGTACAGCCCACTGACCCCTGATAGGAACATACATGGAAATGAATCCGATGAATAAATGTGCATGTTTCAGAAATAACGACAATCCCAATTGGTTTTCATAATGTTAACAAGGAAAAACATAGCTGCGGGTCTAAACACTGGTTATTTTGGAGAAATGTACTTTACATTACTTTATAATTCAGAGTGACTTATTTTACCAAAAATGTAATAATATGAAGCAATTACTAATGTTACCATGTTCAGAACAAAGGCTATCTTCATCATTTTTAAACCAAAGACAACTAAAATGTATTAATTTGTGGGTTGTTACTGATATTAATATATTTTCAGTTACCTAAATTAATACAATAAAATTCCCCTTTGACTCACAGTGGAACTTGACAACCAATTTGGATGTCTTTACATCATCATGGCCAAAAATTCAGGATAGCTATAAATCATTTCTGTAATTTAAAACTCTGCTGGACAGATTATACTTAAAAACAATTCACAAAAACATAATTTATTGAGTGTCCGCTGTGAAAGTTATGTGTTCCACAACACACCAGCCTCGTGATTAACACCTACAATATTGACAGAGATAAACCTATAAACAGAGGGATGTCAAATATATTCCAGCCAAACTTAGTCCTTACTGACTAAATCTAAAAATGCTTCAGTACACGTTATCTCATAGCATCCATTCAACTACAATATCCCTTGTTGTCTGCAAGCACAGACAACTCCAGTTAGAAACAGGGGAATAGAAACAAAAACAACAATCCTCTCTGATGTGAACCACCTGAGGATTTAGGAAATATCACTGGATCATGATAGCAAGAAAGCATATATTAACCATTTCCATATTTAGTGTTCAAAACATCTAATAACTGAGACTGTGAAATACGTACCTCCGTAAATGGCAAAGGCTTGGTCATAAAAGAAGCGTCGTTTCAGCGTATCCTCCATTTTGGTTCGGTCCACGATGTCATCCTTGGGTTGGAGTGATAATTCCTGCAAAATAATAAGGAGATATTTTGTCATTAGGATGAATAACCTCTAACCTACTCATCCACAATCTCCTTCCTGGACTGGGGAGAGGGGGGGGGGAGAAGGCACGGCATGGCAGAGGGGGGGAGAAGGCAAGGCATGGCAGAGGGGAGGGAGAAGGGAAAGGCATGGCAGAGGAGGGGAGAAGGCACGGCATGGCAGAGGGGGGGAGAAGGCAAGGCATGGCAGAGGGGAGGGAGAAGGGAAAGGCATGGCAGAGGAGGGGAGAAGGCACGGCATGGCAGAGGGGAGCAGGTATCCATTATGAAATGCTAGAAAAGTTACCTTTGCTTCCAATACCCTTTTTCTGGCTTTCAGCTCGGCCACCGCTCTGTCCACATCCACTTGTGGTGCTTGATCCTGTTTCAGCTGCCGTACTAGGTCACCCTGAGAGAAAAATATACAAATTTAAAAGCTTTGACTCCGCACATAAAACAAGTGATTTGTTTGCATTAAACTTTTTTCTAGTATTTTCATAAATGAACATGTCATCATTTCCAAAAGTTAACCAAAACATGTGAATTTCAAATTGGTTTGTTATGGTTCAGTGTTTGCTAGGGGTTGTGAAAGCTGAGCTAGGCAAGTCTGGTATCTCTGAACTACATTTCATAGGACAGTCAGCAAAAACTTTACAAACCCCCCCCCAAAAAAAAAACAAAAAAAAAAACTGACCTTTGCAAACAGAAAACATGCTTCCCCCAATTTGTGAATAAATCTAAGGTTAACACACCTTGAGAAAATATATCGCCACAGATCCACTTTATACTTTTGAGTGGAAGAAAAGTCCATGAGTTTCACGTGAACCCACCATTAATGGAGTGGTCCTAAATTAAAGACATTAATTACTTCCTCGCTACCTGGTCCCTGAGACCCCGCTGTCAATATACGAGTAGTACCAAACTGTTCTAATGATATAGGTCATTAAAGGGGATTAAGAGCAGAATCTAATAAAATGAAATGAGAAAGCTTTGAGAAGCCTGGGAGACAGTGCATGGTGGCATCAAGGCGCACACTGGGTCCATGAAGCATATAATACTTGCCATGAAGTCTGTAATACTTACCAACCCATCAAACAATCAGAAAGATGGCCTTGTGGGTTTACCAGGCCTGTGGGCCATGTGGGGTGACCAGGTCTGTGGGGTGGAAAGTTTTGGGAGCAGATCTGCCTCCAATGGTCTACAGTTTCTAATGATACATAGACTTGGCACTATGCATGGTTGTGGACTACATTTCACAGGACACTCAGCCTGCTGAAGGTCCTCCCTAACACCTTGCTGAGCACCATGGGAAATGTAGATAAATTAAATCCTAATTGTCAAGGTTAGGCCATCTACTGGATCAGCCTTGCTTTATATTTGGTGTAATGGACCGCCTGGCACCCCGACTGGGTGCCTCCGCCAATCGCTGCTTCCTAGTAATTGTGAGCACCATAAGCACCGCACTGGAACACCATGACCACCGTAAACCCCACATCTGCCACAGTTTGGCTGGGGTCTCGCTGTCCTCCACCCACCCTGGATCCAAGTCAGGGATCCAGCTTCCAGTGGGTAGACCTCTCCTACTCCAGAGAGTATAGCAGGATAGAGCTAGTGTTGTAATCCAAGGGAGTATATTAATCCCCAGGGTGAATATAGCTGTCCCCTCCACACATGAAGCAAGGCTCTATGTTGAGAGTGAAGAGGAACTGTTTAATGGCAGCCACAACTGGCCTTATATGCAGGTCCCCATGCAAGGGGTTTCCAGTTACATATTCCAGGGGCATTTCCCACTGGACCTGAGAGTAGACTACAGAAAAAACATACACATGATTACATTGGCTCTCAGGTCCAGGACACTCCCACACAAAACAAGATAATCCCTCCCCTGTGCCTGGGAGATAATTGAGTCAGGAACTGTACTAAACTCAATTATCTCCAGGCACAGAGAACATACATTTTAACAACCTCCCAAAAGTACCCCCAAAGCACATGGAAACCCCACAAAAGTCATATCCCCTGATAGCTCCAATCTGGGGGACCAACATATCCCCAAATCACCCAGATTGATTGAGGAGTTCGGGATTTCCATGGAGGTCATAATTTGACCGACCGCACACGAGGCTCCTGCCCAAAAGAGTTCTATGAAATCAGGCTGTGCGGTCGGTCTCTTTCGGGAGTACAAAATACAACAATATTCCGAACAGAACTGTTTGTACGTGTGCCTTGTGTCCCTCGTTCGGGAGTTTGCTCCCACTGAACACCGCTCTTCTCATACAAGCGCCAGAGTACATACTTGGTGATGGAAGTCCCAGCGATTCGCACCATCGAGTGTATGCTTTGGGTTCCATACACTCGATGACCAAACACCCCTATACGCGTTCATGGGAACAAGATGGCCGCTACCACATGTTCATCCATACGAACGGCGCCCAACCTAGCCGACCGCTTAGAACGTTGCGGTTAAAGTGTTGATGGGGTCAAAAGAGTCAACAAGCAGCACACGACTCCCCTGTGTGGTCTAACTGTTTGGTAGTTGGTTCAGTATTCGAACAGCATAAGTATAATCTGTTCGGTAATTCCTATATACTGAACCAGACAAGGAAAAAGGCACAAACAAAGCCTTTCCCCAGTCCTGAACCAAAGTCTAACACATGGGCCATAGTCCTGAGGTAAGAGGCTTACCAGCAGGCCCCTCCAAGAGCCAGTGGCGAGGTTACTTTTGCCACATTTAGTATTACCCAATCTGTGTATTCATAATACACGAAACAAAAAATAAATAAATGCACGTTCATACCGTACAATAAAAAGAATAATTTGTAGCAAGTCATTCCATACACATCCCATACTCTAACCTACAGCAAATGCATATTTTACACCTATACGAAGGCATCACGAATGGACTAACCGTACCCAGCCCTGCGTTTTATAAGCATCCGGGAGACTGCATGCTGCTCAATGTGTTCACTGTGACTATAAAACTAACACTTCCAGCATCTAATCCACTGTTATTACAGGAATAAGGGGTATCAGCAACAGCATGCGAGGCAAAAAAAGGAGTCACACCAAGCTTAATCAGCGATGCTCAACTTAAATAAGCTTCTCTATAAAAGCAGACAGAGGAACCACCCAGAGACTGTGCATGGGGCTTGCTTGTGTGTTCTGCCGCACCAGGAAATTAAAAGCCTAGTGCAGTACTTACAATAAATGTGACTCCAGGTAACCAACACTGGCTGTTTATGTATCGTATACAAGTCCAGCTTTCCAAAATACTAAAAAGATTGACAATGAAATGCACCATCATGAAAGGGGACAGTGGGGATTATCTATATATATATATATATATATATAAAAAAAACAACAACAATTGTGGGGTCAAAAAATCTAGAAGTGGTGCAGTCACCATGGAAACCAACAGAACATCCTATATTTGGAAGTCAATTTATCTGAACTATGCGAATTCTTTGTATGTAAACTCTCACAATAACGCAATACCAGAGCCGTTTCCTAGGTTTGCCAAAAGGCTCAGAGCGACACCTGGCCGAAATCTATTAAGAAAGCATGTATCTAGGTAACCATAGTGTTTGCAATGCCTAAGCTTTTAATCTGTGGTACTGGCAGCAAAGCACCCACTACTGATTTGGATATTACTTGTTTAGAAGCTGTAAGACATACAATTGGGTACGGACCATGTGCTGGGTACCGATTCTGCAATAGAACACACAACATAGAGGACACCGGAGGCTGGGAGAATCACTGCTCTTATATTTTTGTCCCTCCTTCTCGGCCCTTTATAAAGATTATTATACAAGGTTCAGCAATGGAAAAACACCAAACATGGCAGAATGAGGATCTGTGGTCTCTGTTCCATGATGGTTATAGCTGTGTGGCTGCAAATATGGCACATAACGGCCTTTGAGCAGTCCCTGCAACATGCCAGTCTGCGTGACAAGTTAATATGAATGGCATTTAACCCCTTGAGGTCCAAACTTCTGGAATAAAAGGGAATAATGACATGTCACACATGTCATGTGTCCTTAAGGGGTTAAAGGGACAATCCATGTATCATTACCATGAAGGACCACTACGATTCTACGGTTACAATACCCTATTTAAATAAATTCCCTAGCACACAAAGTGCGCAGACTCAGTATGAGACATAAGAGGTAATGTATGAATGGCATTGTCATGTTCCATTGATTTCTGGAATAAAAGGGAATAATGACATGTCACACGTCATGTGTCTTTAAGGGGTTAAAGGGACAATCCATGTATCATTACCATGAAGGACCACTACGATTCTACGGTTACAATACCCTATTTAAATAAATTCCCTAGCACACAAAGTGCGCACACTCAGTATGAGACATAAGAGGTAATGTATAAAAAGTGTCATGTTCCATTTTTATTTCAATTTATTCCCTTATTTGCACCAAAATATCCCTTTATGTGCTACTGTGCCTCTTGTATAATTTTATTTTTCTATTTAATTTTGTTTCACAAACTTGTTGCTATTAATGAAAAAAAAGTTACAAAATTGAGCCTTTTTATAACAATTTTTTTTAACCATATTTTCTATGCCAACTAAACTGCTTTCATATTAATTTGTGTATAATAAATAAAAAAACAACCCATCAAATTGCAAATGCACAAATAAAAAGTGGCGGGGTGTTGGGTCATTAAAAGTCTCCAATGTATAAAGATGGAGTAACCGTTAAATACTTAAGAAAATGGCGCATGCACACAGCACTGGCAGACACATGAACATTTTTACACGTAATCCCCATAATGAGGAAGATTCGCTTCTACATAATCTGTGCAAATATTTGCACAATGTGAGCATGCAGCATGTAATGAGAGGTAAGGTGCTCATGGAGAGATCCTTCAATATTCTATGGCTCGCAAAGGATAAAACTTCCTAATTATGACATTTTACTTCTTTAAAGGCTCTGTCTCCGCCATAGGATAATTAGGGACGACCTGCTGCTGGGAATCTGCTCTAACCCCAAGATCTGAGAGTCGAACAATGATTATTTGTTACTGCACACAGATTTATAAACTATAAAACTTCCTTAGAAGAAAAAAAAAAAATAAAATAAAAAAGTTAACTGGGCTCTCTCCTTAATCCCTATGTATATTTAGACAAATGGAGGTCATTTAGTTACTCCAATTGTCATTGGAGGGAATGCCCGCCTGCCAACATCAAGACAGACCCCCCCTAAGCGGGTCCTACTCTGACCCTTCACCTTGGTTCCTTGAGCCTCTGGCAAAGATATCGCTCATGAGACAGAGAGGGGTATTTTTTTATATACACCCCTATATACGTATTAACCCTTAATAGGGAACACATGGGATGGGCGGCAGCATTGTAACCTAGCTGTGTGATACAAAAAGTGAATACAAATACAGAAAGATAAGTCCTGCGCTCACTCCCATCACTCCTGGGCGGCAGCAACGACCACAGTACACATCAGCCCCAATACATACAGTAAAAACCAAAGTAAGCTCGCGCTCTCTTTAATACACAGGGATTAAGGAGAGAGTGCAGGTGACTTTCTTTTTTTTTTTTTCTTTTACTATATTGGGGTTGATGTGTGTACTGTGGTCCTTGCTGCCGCCCAGGAGTGATGGGAGTGAGCACAGGACTTATCTTTTTGTATTTATAAACTCTCTTACCCATGTAAATCTATACTCTTTAATAATGTAAGCTTTCTGTGTAAACAGTATTAGCAACATACATGCTTAATGAATCTCTTCTTTTTCTAAATTTGGAAACACCTAAAATCACAATATGTTAAAAGAAACTTTGAGTTTTGAAAATATTCAAATTCCTAAAACGTTATTTATATTACATTAGGTTTGCACTGTTCTCTATGCACAAGAAGGCTGCGGGACACTAAATCCTTGTCAGTATATTTCTTCAACATCTGGATGGATTTCTGCATTGAATTCAGGTTAACGTGGCAAAGGGAGGAGACAGAGGGGTGGGAGAATCATCCTAAATTCCTCAAAAGCAAAAGGAAGGGAGGGGGCGAGAGGAGAGGGTTAGTGTAGTTTACAAAAGCAAGAAAGTGATACAAGCCCTGACAACTTAGAATACAGTGACATTTACAGACACTCGGGATTAATAAACGGGGAAATAAAAACTAAAAAACTGAATTCTCCAGAATAAAAGCATAGTTTAATGTAAAGTGGTAGTACCACACTTATATGTTTGATATTTGCTATAGAAAGGAGTTTAAAATAAAGTCACATTACAATGCAGGGGCCATGTCAACGTTAAAATGGGGCACCGAGCAGACACAATGTGTAACTGCCCCAGCAGACAAGGTTAAAGAGGTCACAAGCGTGGGACCGACCTGCTCATTCATAAAAAGGTCTTGTTTTCTTCCAAGTGATAAATACTAGGATTGTACTACAGCAGTAAAATGATATTGTTTGTGTCCTTTAGACAAGCACACAGTTCAGGTATTTTCAATATCACAACATATATTGTATATTATTCCTCACACTTAGGGGATATTGCAATCCTAGTTTCATATATTATCTAGTTTACCCAAAAGTAAATTCAGATCATCTGCTATTAGAAGCTCATACAGTATTATTATTTTTATTTATATAGCACCTGCAAATTCCCGGCTGAATTCATGGTTTTTCTCATTAACCCTGTCATTGCCAGATTATCCCTACCACTTTATTTTGAGCTTTGTTTTACAAAAGGCAAAAACAAGTTAAATTTCCCTTTTCTATGAATTGTTCTCACAGTCCAATTAAATCTCTTCGGCCTACGCTCCTATTAAGCAGCAAGAAGCCAATTAGTATCAAGGGTTAGTTGGGCAGGTCGCATATTTCCCAGTAGGATCGGAGTTAACACCCAGCTACTCCCAGCACATTGCAACCTGTGCACATGCCATGAACAGGCTGCAGGTGAATTCAAGGGCATGGATAGTAAAAACAATTCACTATATTTTGCATTGATAGCTTAACACATTTGATTTAACAAAATAATAAAAAATTGTACTTCCCAGCATGCATTTGAACATGCTCTGATTGGCTGCGTGTTTGGTAGAATTGTATTTCCCTTTAATATGTTTTATAATGGAAGGATAACAGGTAAGTGAGCTTACAGAGACACACTCTGCTCCTATGCTTACAGTTCTGCTACCTCTGACATCACAAATGTGACATCACACGTGGTAACGGAAGGAAAATCTGTATAGAGTATGTGTCTGTGTGAGCTCCTAACTCAGTCTACAGGAAAGCAGAGTTTAGGATTGAAGAACTATGTACCCTGTTTATGCCAAAGCCATGGAACCCAATTAAAGTCTAAGATAATACTAAGATTCAATGGGCTAATGCATCATCAGTAGAATCTATTCAACCCTGGGGGTCAAATGTTCAAATCCCGGCAGGGTTGACTCAGCCCTTCATATTTCCAAGTTAGATAAAATGAGTACCATTAAATTGGATAATCGTAACATCCCCTGAATGTTGGGCTAAGGTAACATCCCCTGAATGTTGGGCTAAGGTAACATCCCCTGAATGTTGGGCTAAGGTAACATCCCCTGAATGTTGGGCTAAGGTAACATCCCCTGAATGTTGGGCTAAGGTAACATCCCCTGAATGTTGGGCTAAGGTAACATCCCCTGAATGTTGGGCTAAGGTAACATCCCCTGAATGTTGGGCTAAGGTAACATCCCCTGAATGTTGGGCTAAGGTAACATCCCCAGGACGTACTTGTAAACCAGAGTAATCTGAATGCACCTTTCTTGGTTAAATACTTTGTTAATATTATTACTGAGGGCCACTTCAGAGTCCTTGCAATACAAGGCTAGCCAGACACCCCCTACAAGAGCTGCCATTTGCAGAAATGAAGTGCCAGTTACTTGATGAGATGCTCTTTTGTGTTACGTTGACAAATCTTTTGCTACAATATATCTCCAAGCTCACCATATGGCCTATTAGTGCAGAGAAATGGTCCCCACGGAACCTACCGAGCTTGGTTCCTTAGGAACACTTGAATCAATATTAAAGAGACACTGCCACATCTACTATGAAAATGCTTTAATACCCTATTTAACATTAACCTTGGTCTAATTTACTGAGAAAATTGTAGTTTGTTTTTCAGGAAATAGACTAATCAAGACTTCATACAATTTCAATATTTGAATGCTTTAAAACAATGATCAGGGCACCCATATGCTTGGGGCTAAATCTTGTCTGTCTTTCATTCTGCAGATGTCAGTGTTTGTGGGGGTGGAGTGACCAGGTCACAAGCAATGAGACTTCATTTAAAAAAAGCAATTGTATGGCAACATCCTAAAAGTGAAGCAGTTGCCATGGTAGCAGAAAGAATGTTACTGCTGACTGCTCAATTTTTAGAATTTTTACCCAAAAAAACCTTTTACAAGCAATTCATTATAATGACCTTTAATAAGGAGTTTTAGCATAGGATCTATGTTGCCCTGGACCCAGTGCAATTAGTATTGCACACACTGCACTTGCAAATGAATAGCAGCAAAAATAACATAGTTACACTCTATGCCCCATAACCAATACGATTCCTGCAGTGTTTATGGTGTTATGAGTTTTTGGGTTTCTGATAGGACTTGAGTGGCTGGACAAAACCAGAACCTTTCATCAGCACAAACAGCCATCGCTCTCCTCCAGCAGCCCCTTATACCTGTAAGTCCAACCGTGGACAGCAGTGACAGGCTGTGAGAGATGGAGTCCAGATAATAGTCTGACACCCAATACACAAATTTCATTTTATACTCGCATTAAGGGATGTTGCGTATTGCATTGTGGGAGTGGATGAGCAACCTTTGCAAGTTACAGATCTCACTGCTATTTAATGTCCACCTCAAACATGCTAGTAGGAGGCACTGATCAATATTACATCCAGTTTGGAAGCTTTAATCATTCAGTGTGGTAGCGCAGCCCAATCTCTAATGGCCGTTGGATTGGAATACATAATACTGTATATCCTTCGGGTAGCTCCTTAAACTATCTTCCCATAATACCAGAATATATTTCATGTTCCTGCTGTTTGCTCCACAATAATAATTATTTATACATGGCCAAACTATTCCGTAACAAACAACTCTAAACAAAACAAGTTAAAGTGAAGGACCCTGCCCAAACGAGCTCACAATATCTACCTTTATAATAGTTGTCCCACAGTTGCTCATTATAAATAATGGTTTTATTATATATATATAAAAATACAGAATCCAGCGCACACGCTTATTCACTAAACAATGATAGAGAGATATATATAATGCCCGACGACATCTATATCACCGACACAGAGCAGAAAGTCTAGAGGAGACGGAGATACAAATGTCACAGGTATTTTGTCACAGGTGACCATTGGTTTACACACACTGAGCATGTGCACAGGGACAATACAGAGGTGATGTGTGACCTGTCAAAATACCTGGAGGCTAGCCCAGGCTCCGACATCAAAACAAAGTGACAGCAACATGTCTCACAGCTCTCTAAAAGGCCTATTGCATATCTTGACAGGTGATAAAATAAACAAAAACCAACAAAGTAATTAAAAGAGATAACCCTGAACTATTCATGTAAATTAATTATTTGATATGTTAGCTCTAATAAAGAAAATAATTACAAAGGTAACATCCCTGCTACAGAAATTAACCCTTAATGAAGGGGCAGGAAAAGGAGTGAAACTTGAGTGTGAGCAAATAATTAGCAATTATTCACCAGTGTGATACAGGACTCACAGAGCAGTGTCATGGTACAATAACCACACATTCACCAGCACATCTGCTAACAGAAAATACAAAATGTGAAATTATATATATATATATAGAGAGAGAGTTAGGTTCTAATTTAACAAGTATTGCCATATAACAAGGTGATTCGAATTCTTTACAAACCAAAACCAAATCACTTCTTACTGAAATGATGGAAAAAGAGAGAACCTGAAATGAATTTATAGAAGAAATCTGAATAAAACGGATAATAAAATAAATATTTATCATCAGACAGTATACCTGGCAGAGCTGTGTACCCTCTGGGACCTACAATACACAATGTTGGTGATCTTTACCCAAAATTAACCAATCCCCGAAATCTGAACCATGTTAGGGGCTGTGTGTAGACTGCACAGCTCCCATCATGCTCAGCCAGACACTGCAGCATCCTCCAGGGTCTCATGGCCACTGTGGACTAAAGTCTAAAACTCCCATCAGGCTCAGCACACATTAATGCTCAGGCTGGAGCTATGACTGCCAGCCCCCTGAGCCCAGCCAGAGGCTGCCTGTGTGTGCTGGGAGTGGTGGTGCCAGGCCCTGAGGAAGTCTCTCACCTGCTGTTTGACCGCCTGTCTGAGGGGAGCGAGCTGCTCCTCTATGTTGCCCTCCATGCCGGCTGTGCGGGGCTGTGCTGGGTGGGCTGGCTGAGGGTGCTTGGCCCGGGCTGGCTGTGCTGGCTGAGGGTGATGGAGTCGCTGGAGCAGCAGGGAGGCTCCCAGAGAGCGAGGCTGGAGATGGTGCAGCAGGGCGGGGAGGGATCTGAGCAGCAGCATGGACTGGGGACTCACTCACACTGCATGATGAAATCTCTGCACGGCCGTAAAGCGGCCCCGACACAGCACGACACTTTCACAGCAGCCGGGAAGCAGCGGCCGCCATCTTGGTTCAGGCAATGACTGCCAGTACTGCAAACTGCAACTCCCATCACCAGGAACAGGCATAGTCTGTATGGACTGCAACTCCCATCACCAGGGGAAGGTATAATCTGTATGGACTGCAACTCCCATCACCAGGGAAAGGCACAATCTGTATGGACTGCAACTCCCATCACCAGGGGAAGGCACAATCTGTATGGACTGCAACTCCCATCACCAGGGAAAGGTACAATCTGTATGGACTGCAACTCCCATCACCAGGGAAAGGCACAATCTGTATGGACTGCAACTCCCATCACCAGGGACAAGCACAATCTGTATGGACTGCAACTCCCATCACCAGGGAAAGGCACAATCTGTATGGACTGCAACTCCCATCACCAGGGCGCAATCTGTATGGACTGCAACTCCCATTACCAGGGGAAGGTACAATCTGTATGGACTGCAACTCCCATCACCAGGGAAAGGCACAATCTGTATGGACTGCAACTCCCATCACCAGGGGAAGGCACAATCTGTATGGACTGCAACTCCCATCACCAGGGAAAGGTACAATCTGTATGGACTGCAACTCCCATTACCAGGGGAAGGCACAATCTGTATGGACTGCAACTCCCATCACCAGGGACAAGCACAATCTGTATGGACTGCAACTCCCATTACCAGGGAAAGGCACAATCTGTATGGACTGCAACTCCCATCACCAGGGAAAAGCACAATCTGTATGGACTGCAACTCCCATCACCAGGGAAAGGCACAATCTGTATGGACTGCAACTCCCATCACCAGGGGAAGGCACAATCTGTATGGACTGCAACTCCCATCACCAGGGAGAAGCACAATCTGTATGGACTGCAACTCCCATTACCAGGGGAAGGCACAATCTGTACGGAATGAAACTCCCATCACAAGGGAAATGCAAAATCTGTGTGGACTGCAACTCCCATCACCAGGGAAAGTCATAATCTGTATGGACTGCAACTCCCATCACAAGGGAAAGGCACAATCTGTACGGAATGAAACTCCCTTTACCAGGAAAGACACACTGTATGGTTTGTAACACTCATCTAAATATCTGTGTGGAGAATTGACCACTACTCCCATCACCAGGGAGAAGCACAATCTGTATGGACTGCAGATTATATCACAGGCAGCCTTTTAGTGTTACTGTGCCAAAATAAGATATTTTACTCCCTTGGTGTGCCGATCCTATTTCTCTTTAAATTGAGGTGTGTGTGTTTAAATATTCTGCTTGTGTTATTAATGAGTGCTGTAGTTGCTTTGTAGTGTTACATTTGTGCATCTGGGGGCTGTTATATTGTATATATCCATGAGTAGTCTGTAGTATCGTGTAGTATACCTGTGTATGGTGGCTCATTGTGGAATAGATATGTCACATAGTGTGTGTGGATGATGTGTCACATAGTGTGTGTGGATGATATGTCACGTAGTGTGTGTGGATGATATGTCACGTAGTGTGTGTGGATGATATGTCACGTAGTGTGTGTGGATGATATGTCACATAGTGTGTGTGGATGATGTGTCACATAGTGTGTGTGGATGATATGTCACGTAGTGTGTGTGGATGATATGTCACGTAGTGTGTGTGGATGATATGTCACGTAGTGTGTGTGGATGATATGTCACGTAGTGTGTGTGGATGATATGTCACATAGTGTGTGTGGATGATATGTCACGTAGTGTGTGTGGATGATATGTCACATAGTGTGTGTGGATGATATGTCACGTAGTGTGTGTGGATGATATGTCACATAGTGTGTGTGGATGATGTGTCACATAGTGTGTGTGGATGATATGTCACGTAGTGTGTGTGGATGATATGTCACATAGTGTGTGTGGATGATATGTCACGTAGTGTGTGTGGATGATATGTCACATAGTCAGGGCCGTCTTTAATAACGAATGGACCCTGGGCAAGTGTTTGCTTGGGCCCCCTGTGCCCTGCCGCTCTCGCCCCTCACTCCCTGGTATGCAATCACGGCATCCATCCCAACGCAGTGGCGGTACTAAAGTAGAATGAATTTTATTGGGACCCCCAATTGCAAGGTTGGACTAAAGGTAGAACCCCATCTGTCGTGCAACTCCAACAATGCTTTGACAGCTGGGGCTCTACCAATTTCCCATGCTTGCAGGGTTGTATTTAGCACTGAGCCATGTTAGTATGTTTGAATGTAAGCATGTGTTTGTATGGAGTATGTTTGTGTGAATGTGTTTGTATGTGGTACTGGAGTTTGAATGCAAGTGTGCATTTATGTGTAGTGTTTGTTTTTGAATGTAGGAGTGTGCTTGTATGTAGTGTTGACGGAGGTGTGTATTTGAATTTAAAGTTGCGGCTCAGATGCACAGGTACACACTCTGACGCACAAGCAGATACACAGATACATACACTGACTACATACAGATAAACAGGCACATACACTGACAGACATACTGACACAGGTACATATATTGACACACACACAGACACATACACTGGTAGGCGTACTGACAGACATACTGACACAGGCACATATACGAACATACTGACACACAGACACATATACCGACATACTGACACACACACACACAGGCACATACACTGATCAACATGCGACACCCACATACACTGAGAAATACTGACACACACACACAGGCACATACACTGACACACAGACTGATATACTGCACACACAGACATACTGGCACACAGACAGATATACTGACACCCATGCATACACATGCACTAACAGACATACTGACGCACTGACAGACATACTGACACATACACATGACGACACACCACACACGCATACTGACACACAGACAGACAGACATACTGCACACACACAGACATACTGACACACACACACGACATGCTGACACACACACGCACTAACACACACATACACTAACACACAACACACACATACACACTAACACACATACACACACACTAACACACATACACAAACACACACACTAACACACATAAACACACACATACACTAACACTAACACACAAACACTAACACACAAACACTAACACACACATACACTAACACACAAACACACACATACACACATTTTTTTTTTTAAATGTAATCCCCCCAGCCTCCTTACCTTTTGGAGTGCTGGGGGGATTCCCTGGGGTCCAGTGGTGCTGCTGGGCTCCTGGGCGGGTGGCCGGTCGGGCAGGAAGGCGGGCGCACGAGGGAGCACTCACTGCTTCCTCTTCAGCTCCCTCACGCACCGCGTAGGGATGCCGGCGCCGGAAGATGACGTCATCTTCCGGCCCCGGCATCAGTGCGGTGCGCGAGGGAGCTGAAGAGGGCAGTGAGTGCTCCCTCGCGCGCGCGCCTTCCTGCCCACCGGCCATCAGCGGGGCCCACGGGGCAGGTGCCTCGGGCCCCCCAAGAGAAACTGGGCCCGGGGCAGCTGCCCCGTTTGCCCCGCGTTAAAGACGGCCCTGCACATAGTGTGTGTGGATGATATGTCACGTAGTGTGTGTGGATGATATGTCACGTAGTGTGTGTGGATGATGTGTCACATAGTGTGTATGGATGATATGTCACATAGTGTGTGTGGATGATATGTCACGTAGTGTGTGTGGATGATATGTCACATAGTGTGTGTGGATGATGTGTCACATAGTGTGTGTGGATGATATGTCACGTAGTGTGTGTGGATGATATGTCACATAGTGTGTGTGGATGATATGTCACGTAGTGTGTGTGGATGATATGTCACATAGTGTGTGTGGATGATATGTCACGTAGTGTGTGTGGATGATATGTCACATAGTGTGTGTGGGTGATATGTCACGTAGTGTGTGTGGATGATATGTCACATAGTGTGTGTGGATGATGTGTCACGTAGTGTGTGTGGATGATATGTCACATAGTGTGTGTGGATGATGTGTCACATAGTGTGTATGGATGATATGTCACATAGTGTGTGTGGATGATATGTCACATAGTGTGTGTGGATGATATGTCACATAGTGTGTATGGATGATATGTCACATAGTGTGTGTGGATGATATGTCACATAGTGTGTATGGATGATATGTCACATAGTGTGTGTGGATGATATGTCACATAGTGTGTGTGGATGATATGTCACGTAGTGTGTGTGGATGATATGTCACATAGTATGTGTGGTGTATGCATGTGAGGGGCTGTTTGTGGAGACTGTACGTGGATTGTCAGTAGTGTTGTTTTTGTGGAGACTGTTTGTATGTGGAGTGTCAGTAGTGTTGTTTTTGTGGAGACTCAGGGCTCGAGTCCTGCAGGAACGCATGGGAACGGCGTTCCTGCACTTTTTCCAAAGCAGGAACGCCGTTCCCGTTACCTGTCCTGCAGGACCGGCCCTGCTACCTGCACAGAGGGGCCAGCACACGCTGTGTTCCCTCTCCAGCTATAACTCTCGCGAGACCAGCGGCTGTTACCATGGCAACGCTCCGCACAGGCGAGTCTCGCGAGAGTTAGAGCTGGAGAGGGAACACAGCGTGTGATGGCCCTTCTGTGCAGCGGCTGGCTCCCTCCAGCATACCACCGGACCACCAGGCGATCTCCCCCCTCCCTGACAAGGTAAGAAGCAGGGAGGGGGGAATAAAATAAACACATAAAGTAAGAAAAAAATGCTTCCCCCCCCCCCACACATCATCCAGCACTCACACACACACACCCATCATCCAGCACTCACACACCCATCATCCAGCACTCACACACACATCATCCAGCACTCACACACACATCATCCAGCACTCACACAAACACCAATCATCCAGCACACACACACACATCATCCAGCACACACACCCATCATCCAGCACTCACACAAACACCCATCATCCAGCACTCACACAAACACCCATCATCCAGCACTCACACACACATCATCCAGCACTCACACACACATAATCCAGCACACACACACACATAATCCAGCACACACACACACATCATCCAGCACACACACACACATCATCCAGCACACACACAGACACACATCATCCAGCACACGCACACACATCATCCAGCACTCGCACACACATCATCCAGCACTCACACACACGTCATCCAGCGCGCACACACTGCTTTCATTATACACACTCTTCACTCACTACAAACACACTACATTCATTATACACCCTCTGCATTCACTATACACACTCTGCATTCATTATGCACATTCTGCACTCACTACACACTACATTCACTATACACACTCTGCATTCACTACAAACACACTGCATTCAGTGTACACACTCTGCACTCACTAAAAACACACTGCATTAATTATACACACTCTGCATTCACTACAAACACACTACATTCATTATACACACCCTGCACTGCACTATATGCATAGGAGTGTAATTTTTTTTTTTTTAAAGGGGGGAGGGGGGACGGCGGGAATCTTGGGTGAGTTCCCACACTTTTTTCCCCAGGACTTGACCCCTGTGGAGACTGTATGTGGATTGTCAGTAGTGTTGTAGTTGTGGAGACTGTTTGTATGTGGATTGTCAGTAGTGTTGTTTTTGTGGAGACTGTATGTGGATTGTCAGTAATGTTGTTTTTGTGGAGACTGTTTGTATGTGGATTGTCAGTAGTGTTGTTTTTGTGGAGACTGTTTGTGGATTGTCAGTAGTGTTGTTTTTGTGGAGACTGTATGTGGATTGTCAGTAGTGCTGTTTTTGTGGAGACTGTATGTGGATTGTCATTAGTGTTGTTTTTGTGGAGACTGTTTGTATGTGGATTGTCAGTAGTGTTGTTTTTGTGGAGACTGTTTGTTTGTGGGTTGTTAGTATTTTTTGTACAAGATAAAGGCTTATTCTTCAGCTCAGCCTAGGTCTAGCAGTGTGGGTGACTTTATTGGGGTTCATTGGGGACCAGGCTGGCCAGGTACAGGTAAAGGGCAGGAGTTGCTATATCTACTGTGGGCTGCTCTACTCTAGTGCGGATTGCACTGGTTCTGGGAGGAGGTTTTCTGAGTAGTGATGTTCCGAACTGTTCGCTCAACGGTTCGCAAACTGTTCGCCACGGTTCGCCACGAACAGTTCGCGCGGACTCCAGTCAGCTGACACATTCTAGCCAATCCCTCTCAGACCCTCCCACCTCCTGGACAGCTCACTAAGAATGCAGCTTCAAAATGGATGCTGTCCAGGAGGTGGGAGGGGCTGGGAGGGAGGGTCTGCTGCTGATTGGCTGGAATGTGTCAGCTGACTGGAGTCCGCGGCAAACCGTTCGTGGTGAACCGTGGCGAACAGTTCGCGAACCGTTCGGCGAACAGTTCAGGACATCACTATTTCTGAGATGACTTTCTCTAAGTGCTATAATGCATAAATTGAGGATTGTCCATCACCAATTTTTTGTACTTGCGATATCTGAAGCCACACAGGGATTTCTGATAATCCAGAACCAGTTTGGCTCTACCAGCCTTGAGTGTTGTGCAAAGGCACATCGAGTGCCATAGGTTGCCTTCCATTCAGTCTTCAGCACCAACCGCACAGTTCAAGTTTCTGCACTCCATCACATCCTAAAACAGATTTGGACAAGATTCTTACTCTTGAAAAGACTGTTAGGGCTATTGAGCAGCTGAAAAGTGGTAAGGCAGCAGGAGTCGATGGAATTCTGCCTGAAGTCTGGAAGTATGGGGGCCCAGCACTGCACAACAAACTTCATAATTTCTTTATCTGCTGCTGAGAACAAAGCAAACTACCACAGGACCTCTGTGATGCTATAATCAATAAGAGCAAGGAAAAAAGTCTGACTGCTCCAACTATTGTGGAATAACACTGCTCTCCGTTGTAGGAAAAATCCTTGCAAGGGTACCTTTGAATAGACTGGTACTTACCATTGAGGAAGAACTCTTTCTAGAGAGTCAATGCAGCTTCAGAGCTAGAAGGAGCACCACCAACATGGTATTTGTTCTCAGACACCTCGGAGGCAGAACAAGGCATTATTGTACGTGAGGTTCGTTGACCTCACCAAAGCATTCAGCATTTTCCAGCTTAATTCTTCAAAGGACCACTGTAGACCTTGATAAAAAAGGATGGTGTCTATATCCGTTACCACACTGATGGCTGCCTATTTAATCTGAGGCGACTAAGGGCCCACACCAAGACAGTGGACCAACTCAGCAGAGAGCTGCTTTTCGCTGCTGCTGCTGCCCTTGTTTCCCACATGATGACAGCCATGTAGCGAATAACGTCATGCTTTGCAGAGGCTGCTGAGCTCTTTGGGTTA